CGTCGTGGCATGGGCGTCTCGCAGTGGGAGTGGCGGTTGGCATCGCAGGTGTCGGTCGAGGCGGAAGCGCGGGAATCGAAATCTGGCGGGGCATTCCTTCACAACGTGGTGGTGGTGTGCTGCTGCGCTGTCCGCTGTTGCTGGGCTGTCCTCCGCTGCTGCTGCCGCGGTTTCTGAGGTATAGTTGATAGCCCGAGTCATCAGAGGAAGACGGTGGGGTCAGCAGGTGGAGTGCCGCTTGAACCTGTTTGTCGATCTGTGCTTGTTCAGCATCTGCTTGGGCTTGCAGTCGTGCGTCTTCCTCGTCTCGTTCTTGAAGTTGTGTGTCGAGCTCCCTGAGGATGTCCACGTCGATGCTGGTACCGTACTCGTAGGCCTTCTGTAGTTCGCAGTGCAGTCGCTCTCGTTCCTGTCTGTGTTGCTGAAGATGCTCCTGTAGTTGGAGTTGGTGCTGCTCCTGGAGTTCGTTCTCGAAGCGCTGCATGTCACGGGAAGTGCCTCGAAGCCTGTCGATCTCGCTGTTGTACTCGCTCTGAGCTGTCAAGGTGCGGTACTTCTGAGCCTGGATCTGTCCGAACTCCTCCAAGAGTAGTTCCTTAGCGTCCTGAAGCTGGTTCTGTTCAAGCCTCGCGATGTTGCTGATGTCCTGCTGTGCCTGAGCTTTCTCTGAGAGAAGACGTTGCTGTTGTTCGTGGCAGCGTTGTTGATGTTGTTGGACCATGATCTCGGCGTTCTCGTGTAGCTGATGTCTGAAGGTCTCTTCCTCTTGCTTCCTCTGATTGATGAAGGTGGCGAGGTGCGCTGACTCTTCCTCCTTGAGCTGGTAGCGCAGGTGGGCCTCCTTCTGCTGGTAGTGAGCGACGTTCTCCGTGATGGATTCGCGAGCCTCTTGTCGGAGCCGCTCTTCGCGCTGTCGGAAGACTTGGATCTCGTCGTAGTACGACTGTCTCTGTTGGAGTTGTGCTTGCTGGAATTGTTCCTGGCATTGTTGTAGATGTTGCGAGAGCTCGTGGATCTGCTCGGTCTGCAGTTGACGTTGTGCTTCTTGTTGATCGGATTCGGCACGTTCATGATGGAGAAACGCCAGATGGTGTTGGTGTATTCCGTGGTTACGCTGCTGCTCGTCCACTCTCCTCGTCAGCACGTCAATGAGTTTCCGCAGGTCGCTGTTGTCGTTGGTGGTCGAAGCATGCGCTGGCTCATATACCGGTTGTCGGACTGGCGTTCGCTGTCTTCTCTCTGGATGTGGTGTCTTGCCCCTGATGCGTTGTCGCCCGTCATCTTCACCATCCCCGTCACAGCTGTCTTCGTAAAGTTCGGCGTGTTCTCGATGCTGCTTGGCCTCGGAGATGAGTGCCTTGAGGGATGCAATCTCGCCCTTGATTTCGTCGTGCTCCTTATTGAGGTCTTTGAGCTGGCTCTCGACGGTCTGCTGTCTCTGTATCCGTGACTCCACTTGGGATCTGTATTGTGCAATGCGCGCCGTCGGCGTGTCCAGCATGTGTATCATGGTCTTGACTATGGCTAGCTCCTCGATCAAGCGGGTCGGGTCGACTTGGGCTTGCCATGCACCGTGGACTTGGTCGGCGAGACGTGCCATCCGCGCCACCTTGGTGGCGTGCCAAACCCGACGTATGTCTGGGTCGTCGGGAGGAAGGGAAAAGCTTTCGTGTCCCTTGGCATCCGAGAGCAAGGCGGGCATTACCTTTTCGGTGACCTCCAACTGACGTTTCGTCAGCTTTGGTAACTGTCGGTGGTCGTTGGTGGAGTCTTCGGGGGCCTGGTGGCGTCTTCTTGAGTGGGCCCGCTTCGTTCTCGGTGTCGTGTAGTCGTACTTGTACTGCTGCTGATGCTGGGCGTCGTTGTGCTGCTGTCGATCCTCGTCGTGGTGGGAGGTGTGGTGGTGCTGGTTGTGCTGGTGCTGGTGCCGTGGCTGCTGCTGTCCATGCCCTCCATGGTGTCGGCGGTACGAGGATCCAGCTGCTGGTGTACTTGACCTCCATGGCCACGGCTTGGCCCCCACTGGATGGCCGTGAGACTTCGTATTGGTCGCCATCTTGCTGGTCTCGAAGTCCTGCAGCTCGTACTGCTGGTCGCTCTGGTACTTCTGCGCCGAGTGGTGGCTGGCCAGGGTGTCGGCGGCCCTCAAGACGCGCAGGAGGGCCCGCGCCGAAGCCCGGCGCTCCCTCTGCCGCCTGTGCCAGGCGGGCTCGGGCGTCGGGCCTCTCCTGGGCGCGCCGAGGCGCGCGGCAGCCGCCAGGCGGGGGGCCAGGGCGCGGCAGCGGGCGGCGTATCGCCGATCCGCGGCGCGCGGAGCCCGGCCTCGCGATCGGCCTGCGAGGCGGGATCGATCGGGCGGCTGGCGCCGATCGACCCTGACCGAGCGATCGGTCGCAGGCCCAGATCGCCAGAGGCCAAATGGGCTTGAGCCAAAATGGCTACGGACAACTCGGTTCTCTCCCTCCTCGTAACCTCCACTTTGTCCCTGGGGTCCCCGAGGCCATCCTGAAACAACAGATGAATCAGATCGAACGTTCTCTCCGATCCCCCACCACCTGTCGCTCGTTCACTATTGGCGACTTAAACTACTTCGAGACGGGAGAAGCCAGACTTTCAGCGCGCGATGGAGAGGAACGCCCCACCCACAGCAGATCGGCAGAAGCATTCTCTGAGCGGTTCCGCGAGCACGGCGAGATCACTCAGGCGGGATTTAGATTTCAAGCCAAGCCAGCAAATTCCTTCACGCTGGCCAGGATTGATCGCATCTACTCGAGCACCCCGGCAGCCGACCTCCTCGACCTCTCTCTTCAAAGTGGCGCCGAATTGATTGTCCAGGACTGCCGGAGGCCCTCAGATCACGCGCCCGTCTTCCTCTACCTCAACCCCCTGAGTGAGCGCCCCGACAATCCGATCGCCCCGAGGTGGATCGCCCGACGTGTTCGATATCGAGAAGCCCTGAACGAACACCCTCGATCCGTCGAGCTGGCCGACCCCTTCCCTGAAAGGTTCTTGGACATCAAATCCTGGATGCGGCGCGCGGCCGAACGCACTCGGATGGCGGTTGTTTCCTTGGGGGCTCGAACGGGCGCTTAGAAGGTTTCTTGTTGTGCGAAGCTGCTAAGATCTTCTCGGGCGGGACTAACACGCGCGTGTAGGCAGGCCGTCAAGGTTTGCCCCTTCCTGGAGCGCTCCTACGATTTGGACCTCGAGCTGTGGGCGGGCGCCCGCGGATTCCATGCGCACCTGGCATGATATAGAACTCTACTCGCTTTCGCGTCTGCGTTTCAAGTCTGGCTATTCGCAGCGCTGGCCGCATATGGTCTGCCAGATACCATTATCAAAGCATTGGAGGCACTGTATAGTAATGTGGTCTGTCTGATATTCATAGGTGCTATGCAAGCAGTTCCATGCATTCAATGCTGGTCGAGGGATTCGGCAAGGATGTCCCCTTAGTGGTCCCCGATGGGCCATTGCTATGGACCCCCTACTTCTGGCGCCTGACCATCTCCAACCTCGGTGTCCTTATGTTCCTTCTGCGTTTGCTGATGATCTCTGGGTGGCCGCTTTCAGTCTCTATGATACCCTACCGCATGTTATACATGCTACTCGTGAACATGGTTCTATGTCTGGTCTCTCTGTGAACCTCAAGTGCATGATCATGACGTTTAAGCACGTGCCCCGAGAGCGGATCCAGAGTCTATTTCTCGAGCGCGGCCTCGACGTCAGTGAATCCCCGATCGCTGAGCAGGCCACCTCCCGTGGGATCCCCGTGGGAGCGGGTGCGAGAGAGAGAGAGAGAGTTGCCTGGAGTAAGGTCAGCGGGAAGATGGGGAGGATGGTTAACGAGGTGAAATGTTTTGGGCAGGGTCTGACCACGTCCACTGTTGCATTCAATCGTTATTGTGTCCCGATTGCATCACGCGTTGCCCAATTCTACTCCATCATCAGAAAGGCCAAGCTCAATGAAAAGAAGAACTACCAGCTTCTCACCCATTGCCCTGGGCACGCATTCCCGCCAGCATCCATAAAGAGGTTGACCGAGCTCGGGCATCCTGTTGTTTGTCGTTGCCTGGAAGTGGTTTCCAAGGCGACTATGATTCGTGCTGCGCACGCCTCCGAGTCCTTCCAGAATATGTTGCATACGTGCCGCGGGAACCTGAACAGTGACTACGGTAACCTTACTTGGAAATGAAGCCATTATCTCAATGATTCGTTTTTGTTGTTCAGGCGTATATGGTTCATCCCCAGTTTCTTGTGGATCTTCCCATCCCCGACGACGCCCCCACTAAGCAGATCCAACGGGAAGCCACCAAATACATCCAGGAAGATACCCGAACATGCAATATAACCAGCGTGTTCGAACGTAGTTTTCGTAAGCTCCTAGGACCTGTCTCGGTTGATGAAGTATTCAACACCTGGTTGCGCAGTGGCCTGCTTAAGAGAGCCAAGCTTCCGACCTTCGTCATTTCCAGCGTCGCCAAGGCGATTTTCAATGGGTGGAGCACGACCCGCCGATATCGCCAGGCAGGGGGGAGATGTGTCTGGGGATGTGGTGGTGGAGGTGACAACATGTTGCATGATGCTTGCTGCTCGCCCGTGGTGCCCACCATCCGTCGTGCCCGGCATTACCTACCTCTGGGCGGGGGATCTGAGCCTCTCGCTGTCATTTTCCCATCGCGCTTTGTGTTTTCCTCCATTCAATCGCCCCCCTCTCATTATGTCGCTGTGGATCTCATTCGCTATGGTTTCCAATCCTGCCGTGCCTCGCATGTCTCCGCCCGTCGTGCCGCCCGCCTCATTCTAGCCCGTTTCAGGTGCCCTGCCCGTCGCTCCGGGCAGGTCCGCGCGCCCTGTCAGGGAAGAATTCGGTCGCTCAAGGGGTGCGATTCCTCCTTCTCTCCTTCATCTTCTTCCTCCTCCTCCTCCTCCTCTTCCTCCTCCTCCGCCTCCTCCTCTTCCCTCGCCCCACCCCCTTTGCGCTGGGAAGGGGCTGCTGGCAGGTGCCATTGTGGTGCGCAGTGGCTGCTTCCAACGAGCTGCCTGACACGGACGAGCTGGACGCGCTCTACGACAGGTTTTTGTTGAGGCGCCAGAGCGGCATGATGATGGGGGGGTGTAACGGCACGAGGAGGAGGTGGTTGAGGAGGGGGTGGCTGAGGAGGAGGAGGAGGAGGGGGAGGAGGAGGAGGAGGCGGAGGAGGAGGAGGAGGAGGAGGAGGAGGACGAGGGGGAGGAGGAAAAGACTAGGAAGTGAGAGGTGGTGAACGAGAACGAGGAGAGGAGGGGGAGAACAAATACGTAGAGGCAGAGGCGTAGGAGGAGGAGGGGGGATAGGAGGAGGGGGGGCGAATGGTTGCAAACAGATTGGGACAGTTTGACCCGAGTTGACAAAACAACGTTCAGAAGCGTTCTCTTCCTGCGGTCCCGCCCTCTGGTGCGTTTCCTCCTGGCCCTACTTTCGCCCCCCCGCCCGACCCATATTACACCTGTTTGCTCTCCCCCTAGACCCCCTTCTCTGTCGAAGAAAACAAACATCATACACTTTACCCGTAAGAAGGTCCTCCTGGGTTTCTTGGATCGGCGATGGACCCCCAGCATGTTTTTCTGATTCTGCCCTTCCCTCCCGTGCACTCCCCACCCACCATCCCGCACATCCAGCCTCGAGCGACGCCGTAGCGACTCCCAGGCGGCACCAATGCCGAGTGGGAAGGGGACGTGGCAGCAGGTGTGGCATTGAATAGGTTTTGGGTAGCGCCGAGAGCAGGTTAGGAGGCTGCGATGCGGAGAGCGGGTAAAGAGGAGGAAGGGAAAACAGAGAAGAGACAGAGAGAGGGGGGAACTAGAGAGGGAGAAGAGAGAGAGAGAGGGATGATACACGATGCTTTATGCGTGCACAGATGTGTATGAGCATGCACGTGCATACGTGTGTACACTTATAGATACACATGTATATCTGTACGTGCGCTCGAGAGGCGTACGCTCTTGCGCAGGCCCCCAGGCGAGGACAGGGCAGCTTCTGATTCGATATGTGTCGATTGCCGTTTCCTGTCGTGTTGTCTGCGTGGGATGATTGCAGATTCGTCCTCCTGCTCCGCGTCTGTCGCGAGCCTTCTTGGGGGCCTTTGGGAGTTCTCGAGGGCTTTGTTTGGGGCCGTCTCAGGGCGCTGTTGGACCGTCTGAAGCCTTCGGAGACAGTCGTGGGGACCTCTCTGGGCCGTCTTGGGGGTCTCCTGGGCTGTGTTGGGGCCGTCTTGGGCCGCCTCGGGGGGGCGTCTTGGGAGCCTCTTTGGCCGTCTTGGGGTCATATTGAAGGCCTCTTGGGCCGTCAGAAGGCTAGGAAGGCGAGATCGCAGCATAGTTCTAAGGAACATCAGTGCTGTAGGCCTTTTGGGCCCTCCTGGGGCGTCTCTTGGAGCCCTCTTGGGCCGTGGTGGGGCCATCTGAAGCCGTCCTGGGGCAATCTTAAGGCGTCTAGCACATATGGAAACCATGTTCGGCCGTCGTGGTGCCGTCCTGGCGGCAGCTGAGGACCCGTGAGACTGGCGGGGATGCACGATCCCACTTCTGTCTCTCTCTAACCATGTTAGCCTTTCTAGCCCTTCTTCTGCCTTTCTTTGCCCAGCCCTCCAGGCTTCACACGGCCGTCGTTGCCACCCGCCTCTCGCTCGCCGGGGCCCGCCGCGTTCTTGACGCTTCGCGTGCCCCCGTCAGCCCGTCCAGAAACGATGGCCTGACATAGCCCTGAGCAGATCCGCGAGTGGAGCTGCATAGCCTGCTTTGGGAGGTGGCGGCGGAGGAGAAAGCGGAGAAGGATGCGAGGGGGAAGCGTGATATAAAGCAATGAGGCCAGCATTTGTGAATCCGGACGCCTCCCGAGGAGTCATTTGGAACCATACTCCTGAGGCTGTCTTGGGGCCAGCTTGATGGACATCGATCAAAGAAGGGGGGGGATCTGGGCTTCTCGAGGGCGTCCTTAAGAGACTCGGGAGCAAATTGGTGCCGGCATGGGAAGGTTTTGGGGCATCTGGGAGACCTGCTGAAAGATATCTGGAGCAAACCTGTGCCCGCACAATCCTGGAGGCCGTCTTGGGCCACCCGGGGACCTCTTATCTCGGGCCAGCTCGGACGCCAGAACCCCTCGCGAACTCCCTGGCCCCGACCCCAGGCGAGGGCGCAGGGGGAGGGGTCGAGCTCCCAGCGGGAGCGCCACGGGCTGTCTCGCTCGCTCCCACCCGCACTCCTAGTTACTGTGGGATTCGCACCCGAGGCTCCGCCTGGGCAGATGCCGCCATCGGGTGGAATCGGATGGACATCGATTGGGGGCCAATGCTGGCGCCTGGCGTGCGACGCTCGTGAGGATGTGCCACGCGTGCCTGGTGCGCAGGGTGTGCCACTTGCGCCAAGTGCGCCGTAGGTGCACGACGCGCACAGAATGCGCCAGGCGCGTCTGCACATGTGGCAGCACAAACCCGGCGATATGTGGCCCCCGACCATCCGTGTCAGGAGCCACTGCAAAGGGCGGGGTGGGGTGGTCAGCATCGTGTACGAAGTGCGAATTCGCATAAATTTTTGACAGGGGTACAGGGAGGGGGGGGCGTACAGCGGACACGTGCAAAGTGCTCACGGGGGTCCCACTCACGATCCAGACGTTGCCGCCACGTGCATTTTGTGCACTTTCTTGCCAGGGATGGTGGGGGGTGGGCTCCTGGCTCCTGGCTCCTGGCTGTCGGCGGGTCGAGTGGGGGAGGGGATTTTGTATCAATAAGTGGCAATAATAACCCCTCCCCGAGGAGAAAGGACGGGGGTGGGAGGAACGAACTAGCTAGACCACCTACGCACAGGGGGCCAGTGGGAGTTCTCTGCGAGCATGGGTGCGTGTAGGTGTTCGCATCGTACATGCAGAAGTGTGCGCGCACACATCGATTTTTCTGGAAAACGTGTGTTAGCCCAAGCGTGCGCTTACCCCGCTCGGCTCCGCCGATAGCACGCCGCCTGTTTACACCGCCTACGTCGTGATGAAGGGCCTCGGTCGACAAGCACACGTTGGCGCTAACATACGTTCTGAGGATCATCGAACATACCAGCTCCAGCCCGACCGCTGGCCGCACCCGTCTCGGAGTCCTGGTCCAGCGAGCCATTGCCGAGCCCACACGGCGCAGAGCCCAGGCAGGATCTGACGGAGAGCGCGAGCTGAAGCTTCACGCGACTCCCATTGCGCCCGGCCCTCCAAGGTGTCACCCCCAGTCGGAGGAGAAGGTGCTGCTGCCGCTACCCTTGCCTCGCTTTCCCTTTTTTCTGGGCCTCCTGGGAGGCCCTCGTCGCCACCGCCGGACTCGCCTCGGAGTTCGGGTCAGGGCGCACCCCAGAAGAGGCCGGGGGAGCAGCGGTGTCGGCACCTCTCGGGTCCCCCACCCCGGGGGCGCGACGAGAACCCGCGCTCCGCGCGTCGCGGCCTGGGCCAGAGCTGCTGCCTCTCTGCAAGGGTGGCGGCCCGCGAGGGCGGGAGGGCGCGAAGATGGTCGCGCATCAAAGGGCGCGAGGCGCGCAGCTGGGTGACCTGAGCAGATTCCCCTGCTCCCCCTGCCACTGCTGCCGCTCCCCCTGCCAGGTCCTCATCCTCCCCCCTGGCTCCGCCTCCCCTGCTCCTCCTGCCACTGCAGCCGCTCCTCCCGCTCCCGATCCCGCCCCCCCCCCCCCACCTCCGCGCCTCACCCGCAGCCTCCCAAGTCCTCCTCTGCGAGCCCGCCAGGATGCGCCAGAGAAGCCGCTAAGCCCCCCTTTTGCCATTCCCCTTCCTTCTCCTCCAGCCACCGCTGCCGTGTTTTCGGTTTCTGTCGTGACACGGACAAGATTTTCACAGGACGTTGCGCGTTCTCGATTTCTGTTGTGTCTGTTCCGAAGAATTTCCAGTCGCGCGCTTTTCCGCCCACGCGTCCTTCCGGATGCATGGCTCGGTGGTGGCTATTGTTGCCGCTCACGCCTCCCGCTCACTGCCCCTCCCCTCCTCGTCCGCAGGCTCTCCCAAGACCTCCTGGGAGCCTGTTGCCTCCCGCTCTCGCCCCTTCCTTTGCTGAGGTGGAGGAGGAGGACGATGAAGAGGAGGACGAGGGAGGAGGGGGAGGAGGAGGAGGAGGAAGAGGAGGAAATCCACGCCGCTATGACTGCAACGCGGCCGGGCTCCAGGGACCCGTCTGGACGTCGAATGTGCTCCGCGTGCGGATGCATCATGCAGGTACCTGGCACAGTCACCGCCGACGCAGGGCAGGCGTTCGAGGCTTTGTCGGAGGATTCAATCAAAGACGCCTGCGATGATATTTTCCATCGATTCGAAGCCCTGTTTGGTAACACTACCATTTCTGTAACAAAAGGCCGGCATCCGTCTGCCAGCCTCGGGGGTTGCACCAAAGCCCCGTACCCGACAGATATTCACCACAGCCACCATCCGCAAAGCCATCGACACATATTTGAATATGCGTTGGTACAGGCTTGGCAACACGATTTGGGAGCAAGTTTCGGGCATCCCGATTGGTGGATTAATGTCTTCTGCGATCCTGGAGGCGGTACTCCAACACCGGGAGCACAGAGCTGATGTTGCCTGCCCTGAACGTGGCCGTGAACGGGTGCGTGGCCGGTGCGCCGACGATTTGGTCTTTCTGAGCCGCTTGCGGTGTGCAGCTTTCTTAGCGGTTGAAGTTTCGGTCTCAACATCGTCCAGGAAGTGCAGAAATTTGGCATCGACAAAGAAATCCGTTTTAGCTCAAACTTCATGGCCCCCAGGGCCCAGTCACCCCACGCCAGGTTTTGGGCCTGGGGCTCCCAAACACAAGGCTCCACGCTTGCCGCAGCTCGGACCACGGGAGGACAAAAGGGAACATCTTCATCTGATTAGCCCATGTCTCCTTGGAGTAGCGCACGATGGGCGCCACAGCAGGGTACCAGGTAGGGCCCTGGGACAGAACAACTTTAAACGCATGCCTTCCCAGTATGCGCTTCGCTATTCTGAGCCTCTTGAGCTTTTTGTGAAAGACGAATTTCCGATCCGTGAATTTGCGACCACGGCGTTGAAGCCTGCGCGACGGGCCGGGGAACATATTCCGATGCCGAGGATAGCAGCCGACCTAGCTAACGGCCCCGCAAGGCCTCCCAGACGATCAATGACCTGAGTGGCGACCGTTCCGACGAGGCGGCGAGGGAAGCCTTGTCGGCCGAAGGAACAGCACCCATCTCACATTCGATGGCCTTGTGCAAATCAGCCGCGGCATCAGGCAAGTGCCCGACCCTATACGAGGCTTTTCCTGAAATGCTGATCCCACAGTCATCGATGTAAACGTCGAGCGTAACTCCTGGCGGCAACGCGGCAACCGCAAAGAGTCGGGCGCTGGCGCAGCGTGGATTCGCACCATGGTGGTCGCGAGCCCGCAGCCCGCGACAACACCCTTGCGCACGTAGAACGCACCGACCGCGGTGCCAGAGAGCGAGACGAACCTACCCAGCTTCTGGGCGTGGATCGACATGTGCGCAATCTGAGCGGCAAACTGATAGATGTGGCATCGCTGAGGGGGCGCAGACGGGTGGACGAGGTCAAAACATTTGCACACATCCAGCAAGAGCGTTCACCTGGATTTTCCATTGGAAGCCGAGGAGGAGGAAGAGGATGAGGAGGAGGAAGAGGAGGAAGAGGAGGAGGAGGAGGAGGAGGAGGAGGAGGAATAGAAGGAGGACGAGGAGGAGGACGAGGAGGAGGACGAGGAGGAGGAGGAGGAGGAGGAGGAGGAGGAGGAGGAGGAGGAGGTATAGGCGGAGGCGCAGGAGGAGGACGAGGAGGAGGACGAGGAGGAGGACGAGGAGGAGGATGAGGAGGAGGAGGAAGAGGAGGAGGATGTCTCGCCTCGTGCTTTTACCCTCCCCTCCGCGCCTGTCGATCCCAGGCGCTGCGTGCGCCGCATCTCTGCAGACGGCGTCCAGCGATTTCTGAGACTCGCCCTCGACGCAGACGACTCGGGCTTGCCCCAGGCCGTGTTTCCCCCCTTCTACTTTTCCATCAGGTTCTGAGTGTGTAATTCTTGACGCTTCGCGTATCCCCGGCAGGTACATCTTTGGCATTGAGTGTGGTCCATCCTGCTCGGTTGCATTGCTATGTATTCACAGGTCTTGCTATGCTATGCATGTACCACGGTGCACAGGATTGCTCATGGGACGCAGGTTTACCTACCTTTGAGCGGTCTTTACTTGATCTGTCGGTGTGCGACGCTTCGGCTGGCGCCTCTTCATATTCGCGCCATTCTGACAGCGCGTGTCAGTTTTGGCTAGTTCGGTGCTTCCTGGGTGTCCCTGGGTCACCTTGCAGCTCTGCCCTGGGAGCCGCTCTCCCTGGGGTCAGCCTCACCCTCGCTTGCTGCATCCGGCGCCGCCGCGCCCGCCTAGTCGCGCGCGTTAGCCGTCGGTAATTTGTATTGCCTCCAGCCCTTCGGCCACTTTGTAGCGGCCGCAGCCCGACCGTTACCCGCCGCCGCCGGCGCATCCGCCTGCGGCTGTAACAAAAAGAGAAATTACTCCGACGGTAGGACCCCGCACGAGAATCTGTTTAGCTTACCCTTTGCCCTTTCCTCTTCCTCCTCGGGTTCCCGCCTGAGACTTCCTCACAATTCACTCACAGACGAGGCTCCCGTTCGAGACTTTCTCCATATTCATATCTCAAGAGCCCAAAAGTGACGACAATTGCACGTTGCGGATGATCCGCTCGGATTCAAACATGAAGTGCGGGCCCCATAGGGAGGGGGCTCCCGCCTGAGACTTCCTCACAATTCACTCACAGACGAGGCTCCCGCTCGAGACTTCCTCCATATTCAAGTCTCAAGAGCCCAAAAGTGACGACAGTTGCACGTTGCGGATGACCCGCTCGGAATCGAACATGAAGTGCGGGCCCCATAGGGAAGGGGCTCCCGCCTGAGACTACTCACAGACGAAGCTCCCGCCTGATACTTCCTCCATATTCAGGCCTCAAGAGCCCAAAAGTGACGACAGTTACACGTTGTGGATGACCCGCTCGGATTCAAACATGAACTGCGGGCCCCATAGGGAGCGGGTTCCCGCCTGAGACTTCCTCGCAATTCACTCACAGACGAGGCTACCGCTCGAGACTTCCTCCATATCCAGGCCTCAAGTACAGGGAACAGCCTGATGAATGACCTGTTGGACCTCGTCAAAGGAAAAGGCAAGAGCGACACGAGCGGTGGCCCCGAGGAAAGAGGCGGCCGCACCCCAACCACGACTCAAGAGGTGGATACCTCCACCCCAGCTTCAAGTGAGAAGCTGTGAGCGGCTGCCTTGCCCAGCACGATCTGCTCAGCACTGCATCGGAGTGCGTGCATCTCAGACCCCTGGCGTATCGCACCCTGTGTTATAGATGCGTTCGATGAGCACTGGCAAAAAAAAAAAATATCCCAGCAAAGCAACCTAACAGCCATGTGTATGAGCATATATGGAAGCATTCTTCTTTAGATTCATGTTCGGATTTGACTGGAAGCGAAACGCTGCGATCAATAGTGGACGTGCAGCCTGATGCGCTCCCGCATACTCCTGCGGCCTCAGCCTGCATCAGCCTCAGCCTGCATCAGCCTCAGCCTCAGCCTCAGCCTGCCTCAGCCTCAGCCGCACCTCCGATGGCGCCGAGGTGGCTCCCGTGCGTACCTGCACCCACGGAACTCACCTCCGATGGCGCCGAGGTGGCTCCCGTGCGTACCTGCGCGCACGGAACGCTTCTCCGATGGCGCCGAGGTGGTTCCCGTGCGTGCCTGCACGCACGAAACGCACCTCCGATGGCGCCGAGGTGGCTCCCGTGCGTACCTGCACGCACGGAACGCACCTCCGATGCCGCCGAGGTGGCTCCCGTGCGTGCCTGCACGCACGGAACGCACCCCCGATGGCGCCGAGGTGGCTCCCGTGCGTACCTGCACGCACGGAATGAGTTCCGCCGGATTCTCCCGGTTTCTGCCGGCTTCCGCCCGGACCCCCCTGGAGTGTCATGATGCTCCCTTTTGACCCTACTAGAAACCTATCAGCACAAGCTGTTAGGTAAAAAGCGACCTGACAGCAGCACACGAGCGCCCTTCCCAGGGCACGGAGACAGCCGAAGTGGGGAATCGAGAGGAGGCAGCCTGCTGTGGCCTGTGTACGGCTCACACGTACGTTCCCCCCCCCCTTCAGCTGTACCAGCAGGCCTGGAAAGTCTTTGCGAAGAAGGCGGAGGCTGCGGAAGCCGCGAAGCACCCCACTCTGGTCAAACTGTCCGTCTGCAGCCCTCTGTACCTGCAAGGCAGTGGAATGAAGGGGGAAGTCTCGGCGGGGACGGCGGAGGCTCGGGCGTCGACCTTGCCGGCAACGGCAGACGACCACTTTCCGACCAGTCACACTAGCGACTCCCCCCTCCAACTATGGTAGGAGTACAGCCACTGTTGGCGCTACAGTCCTGCACAAGTGGTACTTCTTTGGCAGGCTCCTCCTTCCCACGGCGGGCCCGGCCCACTGCTGTGAAGGTTGTCCCCCCAGCTCCTGTGACGGAGTATGCTCCCCCGTGGCCGCAGTGTGGTGCGCACATGCGCGCCTACCCGCTTCCACCACCACCTACGGGCGGGCCCAGGTATGGCACACTCCTGCACAAGTGGTTCATCCTTGGCAGGCGCAGCCCTTCCGCGACGGGCCCTCCCGCTGTTCGACGCCGTCGACCTTCCCCCCAGACACGCCCCTGGCAGCGCTCTGTTTGGTCCTCGGCAGTCTGTGTCGCCTGGCACACCTGCGCCTCCCTTCCAGTATTCACCAGATTTGCGGCTATCGGCTGCGCCCCTCCCCCCCTCCTCCACGTTCGCTGAGGTGCTGAGCACGCCAGTCGGTTTCCCCCCAACAGTGCTACGTTTTCGCGCACGCTACGAAGTGGTCACTCCTTCCACGCGGCAGGGTGCGCCCGATGGGGCACTGGCAGGTGGGCCGTGGAGGCTGGCTTCCTGTTCAAATGGTGCATCGTCGACCTTCCCCCCTGTCTCGTCCCGGGCCACGCTCTGTTGGGTCCTCGGCAGTCAGTGTCGCCTGGCATCCTTTCCGACCTCGCCATGATGGGTCCTCACGTCATTTCCTCAGGTGCCTGGTTCAGTGGAACCCGCTTCGTGCGCTCCGTGAGCGAGACTCGAACAAGTGAGGTGTTCTGTGAGTGAGGCCTGGTTTCCTCCCCCCCCTCCCCTCGTCGCCGCCCTCTCTCCCCCCCCTCGTCGTGTTGTGCTGGCGCCGTCTCGGCGACTCCTCTCATTCTCGACGCTAAGATGCGTCTCCCTGCAGACGACGACCCGTATTGGGGCTGGTCGGGTTTCGCTTTGTACCGGCCCATGAATATATTTTGTCGTGTTGAGCTGGCGCCGTCTCGGCGACTCCTCGCCTTCTCGACGCAAGATGCGTCTCCCTGAATTTAATTCATTTTGTTCTGTGCATGTGCCGCTACGAGCCTTCGCCATTTTGCACTCCGGCGTTGGCTGTTGGCCCGCTGGCAATTATCTCGCGTGCTGCCCCATGTTCGATACGACCCGCTCTTTGGAATCGTCCTTGGAGCCGCAGATCAAACAAAATATCCTGGCAAAGCAACCTAACAACGATGTGTAGAAGCATAGCTGGAAACATTGCCTGTGGTATTCATGTAAGAGTGCTGTTGTAGAATTCTGGTGTGTTCGCAGTCGCATTCGGATTCGCAGAGGCAGTCGCAGTGGCAACATCAGCGGCACTCGCAGTGGCACTGCCAGTAGTTGCAGTAGCAATAGCTACACCAGCAGCAGCAACAGCAGCAGCAGCAGTAATAGTAACAGTAGTAGTAGCAGTAGAAGTAGTAGTGATGGTAGTTGTGGTAACAGTGAAGTAGTAGTTGTAGTGTGTGGAGTGAACGAGTAGGAGTGATGGGAGCAGTGGTAGTAGCAGTAGAAGCACTGCTTTCGATAACGGTATATCCAAATGAGATCTTTG